ACCGTGTGGTTGCTGTCCAGCACCGCGCCGGCCCTCGACACCTCGGCCCAGAGCTGTTCTCCGTCTGCAAGGCCGAGGGAGGGGCGGTCACTGGGGCAGCCTCCCCTCCACCCCGCGTCCCACCACCTGCTTCCTGTCCTCTTCTAAAGGGGGCGGGGTTTTGAGGCGCGCCCCGCCCCCCGCGAAACAGCGCCGCTGGGGAACCTGTCCTCCCAGCACTGCCCTCCCGCCCAGGGCCGCCCAGCCGCCAGGGCATCCTGCTCACCCAGCAGCGCCAGCAGCCCCATGGCCGTGAGCACCGGCTTACGGAGCAGCTGCACATGCGGCGGCCGGGTGTTGTTGACCTGGAAGCGTGCGGTCAGCGTGCGCTGGGAGAACGGGTGTGGGTGGTAGCTCAGAAAGGCATTATCGTTGCTCAGGAGCTTGTAGTGTGCGGTGCTGGCGTTGGCGACCAGCAAGTTCTGGTGCTGTGCAATGACCTGCAGGTGGCGGGCCAGCTGGGACCTCAGTCGGCCCGGCCACCTTGGCCCACAACAGGAGGCCCCAGCCCACCTTCACCACCAAGGCTGCATAGGTCACATCTGCCCTCCAGGGCTGCGGCAGCGACCAGCCCACCAGCGGGTCTGCCTCATCGTTGTAAATGGGGGTGTCCTTGAACTCGGGAAACAGCTGCTGGATCTGGCCTAGGACCACTGCCTCCTGTTCTAGGATGGCTATGGAGCTGCCCAAACCCTGCGGCAGGGGTGAGGAGTTAGCACGGCAGGCCCGGTGGCCAGAGGGCAGGGCACAAGGGGCAGGGGCACACCTTCCTATGCAGGGAGATGAAATCCAGCCGCACTCCCCGCTCGCCAGTGAAGAAGTTGGTACCATGAGCACAGTGCCGTAGGAGGCCCCAGCTGAGCGGGGACTTCGGAGGCTCATGGAAGGAGTCACCGGGGCCACCCAGTCGCAGCTCAGGGCTGGCAACACGCAGCCCCTCAGAGCAGGCGTCATAATAGTTGAGGAAGCCTGGAGGGAAAGGAGGGCACGGCGTGTCCCCAAGCCCACCCCGGCCTCCCTGAGGGACACCCCCAAGCACCTTCTACCTTGCTCTGTCATGGACACGTTGTCGAAGTCATGATGGTCTGGCTCATTCCACGTCTCGAAGTTCCACCTGGAGACCTGCGCCAGCCCATACCTGCCTGCAGAGTGGCCTCCACACTTAGGAACGGCCAAGCCACCCGCCTCCCAGGGCTGGGCACACGGGAGGATGGGATAGGGCTGCTGTCTGATTGGAAGTGGTTGCCCACCTCCTGGAAGGCCTGTGACAGAGAAGACTCAGGGTGGCCTGGGGACAGGGAGTCTGCCGGGACAGCCCCCCAAAGCCCTCTCCCGCACACCAATGTATCTCCCGGCCAGGATGGAGACCAGGTCCTTCCACTCAAACACCTGCTGCTTGTCCTCAAAGTCAGTGAAATGTCCAGATGGGCTGCCCATCAGCTCGAACCCTGCAACACAGACAGTGCCACTGCCCACCTGCTGCCCAGCACCATCCCAGCCTGGCACCCGCCTGTCCTGAGCACACCACCACCAGGAGGGATTCGGGGAAGAGGAGGTCAGGGCTGCTGCTCACCAGGAAGGAGCTGGTTCTCCTTGAGGAGGTCCAGGTAGGCATCCAGGTGGGTGAAGTTATAGCTCAGCCCCTGTCCGGCAATCCCCCTGTTGAACAGTCAGGGTCAGAAGGAGGCAGCAGTATGTCTCAGAACCCCTGCTGGGGCCGGACCACCTGTGGGCAGTGAGGGAGCCTGCCCAGTGCTGCACTCTAGGATCCAGGCTTCTGGACAGGCTGCTTCCTTTGGAAAACACCAGCACCAGGGAGCCTCTCAGCCACTCACAGCCTAGTGTGAACTGGTCTGTACAGACACCCTTCCAGGAAAGATCTGGGGCAGGGGGCCAGGGTGTGAAGGGGACAGTGTCCCGAAGACAGCCAACCTGGAGCAGGGTGCTGTGGGAAGGAGCCAGGGGGAAGTTGGTGGTGCTGCTGGAGGCCAGGACCCTGGAACTAGCCTAGTGGTGCCCACATCCCTCTCCTGGCATCCAAGAGGCAATGCGGAAGAGCAGAAAGGGAGATGGAGGGCCCCCCACCACAAACTGTCCCACCCTGAGCCAGGTCCCAAGGGACAGCCACCTGGATCTGTAACAGAACATCAGATGTACAAGGATTGTGATGGGGACGAAGGGGCAGAGGGTTAGGAAAGAAGGTCTCTCTGAAAAGATGATGTGCAAGACCTGGCAGGTGACAGGATACAGTAGCACAAGAATGTCTGGGGCAGTGCTACGTGCAAAGGCCCTGAGGTAGGAAGGGCTCACTGAGGTCAAGACAGAAGGCAGCTGTTGGGCCACGCCCATCTGAAAAACAAAGTGTCAGGGATTGTGGGGATGGGATGCTGACTACATTTCAAAAGGGGTCAGAGCAGGAGCTGTAAGTCCAGCTAGGGTGTGGTGGGCTCTCTGGAGGGCACCGAGGGACTGGAACAGATGGATCTGTGAGATGGTGGGGACAGTGTCCCCTGTGGAATTCGAGGTGAGCTGGGGTGTCTAGGGCTGTGGCATGGCTGTGGGGTTGAGCAGCTGGACAGGGACGGCTTGGACACGGGCTGTTCTGCAGTGTGAAGCCGGCCACCAGAAGCAGCGCAAGTGAGGTCCCCATGCTGTGGATGGGGCTCTGGAGAGGGTGGCACAGCGACAAGGGCAGGGCAGCATGGTGGACAGTTCAATCTATCACCACCGTGCCACAGCCTGGCGAGCCTGGCACTGACCTGGACACAGCAGGCCCAGTTCCCAGTTCCCCCTTCCTCACTGTAGAAGGTCCAAGGAAGCCCAGCCCTGGCTCCACCAGTGCCCTCTGTCTCTCCTGCCCAGGGTTCCGGATGCCCAGCAGCGTCTGCCCCCTCATCCAAAGGTCACAACCAGCAGCAAATGAATAAAATGTAACGGATGCTTGGGTAAGGATAGGTGCCCCTGGGACGGGGGTGTGCGCCGGCTCCGGGCCTCTCTATCCTGGCCACGACCTCCAGCAGCGCCCGCACACTACAGGAGCCCCGCACTGGTGGAGGTGTCCTCAGCCTGGGCCTCGCCTCCGCATCAGGAATTCGGGGGCGCAGGGCACACCTGGGGCCCCACAAGTCGATGCAGCCCTCACCCCACTGTCCTCCTGCGGCTGCGCTGCCTCGGCCAGGGGAGGGGTGTGAGAGGCGGCAACTCCAACCGGGGTGAGCCTGAGGTAGCGGCGCACGCGCCTTTTCAGAAAGCCGCACAAGGGCCCATTCATGGCGCCAGCCCCCGCCCCGAGCCCGCGCGTGCGCCGGAACCCCGCGGCGGCCTAGCAGGTGACAGCGCGTGCGCGGTGGGAAGGAGCGCGCAGCAGGGGTGCGCGGGGCGGCGAGAGTGGGCCACACGTGCACAGGGGTGGGGGGTGAGCGAGGGACCTGCGCGTGCACCGGACAAGGGGGCGCGCGTGCTTGGGGTGAGGGAAGGGGCGCGCGTGCGGAGTGAAAGAGCAGCAACGCATGCACAAGGAAGGGGCGAGAACGCGCAAGGTGAGCAGAGCGACAGGTCCTGCCCCTGGGAACAACGCCACCCGCCCCGGGCAGGGGCATCCTGCATCGCAGTCCAGGCCTGGAAGCAGGAGCAGGCTCGCCCTCTGGCCCCTGGGAAGAAGCTCGCCCCACCCACCCAGCCAGTGCTCCCCACTGCGGTAGGGTAACTGTTCCTTTCCAAGGCAGCGTGTTCAAATTGTAAAAGGCCCTTGCGAAGATAAAGCGAAGGCAATCTGCAGGCCACACAGGGCTGGACCAGAGACTGAACCCAAGGGCTACGGGCTGTGGGGGTCCGCCACTCTCTCCGTGAACTGGATACATGCAGTCTGGTGTTCACCAGAGGTGAGCACCGAGCAGGACAGGGCGGGGCAAGGACACTACCTGTTCCCTGGGGTCCCTTTATGCACCCAGGTGACCCCCACCTGTCCTGCACCAACGTCCTGCCTGCCTGTGAGCCCAGGATCTTCCCGCCCCTGCCCTCTTCCAACAGCCCCAGTGGTCCCAGGGACTGTCCCAAGGCTGTGGGTAACCCAGCAGATCACTGTTGGTGGCTGTCCTCTGGCACTGGAGAGCCCCTTATCTGCCCCATGGGAGCCCCTGTGACTCACCCCATCCCACTCCAGAAAGGACTCCTGCAAGCCACAGCTCCCAACCGCCAGGCAAACAACACCCGCTCCCAACACTAGGTGGGAGGAACCCCCACTCCCTTTCCCCCAAGGAACAAGGGAGATCTTGAGGCCTCCGCTTCTCCTTAGAGTAGCAACAGGACTTGGGGAGGGGAAAGGGCATCTGGTGAGGAACCCTGGGAACAAAGTGGGGGCTCTAACCTGTGGTGCCCAGCTCTCCCTCATGGTTTGCTCCGGCTTCTTCCCACTCACGCTGGTCACCCACCCACATGCCACTCCCTCGGTGTAGCTCCTCCTCTTCCTAGGCCAGACCCATGGCTGTAGGGAGCTAGGCAGGATGCAGAAGGCCACCAAGAGGAGGCTCCAGCGTGAGCTGGATGAGAACCCTTCTCTGGGGATTTGGCTCAATCCTCCTCACCCTACCTTCCCGTCCTGGAGCCCCAGGGTCTCAGCTGGCTCTTCAAAAACACTTGGTGATCCTAACTTCCCTCTCAGGGCTCCTGGGGAGGGGAACAGCAGGGCTGGCGGAGCCTGCAGGGACACCAGACCAGGCCAACTTGACCCTCAGGAACCTACCACAGCCCATGGCACCCCTTCCAGGATGGGAGCGCCCCCAGACCAGAGCCACCCTTGGAAGGAAGCTGAGCTATGATACACAGCCACTCACCCTACAGCACCGCACCGGGTTGATCACCCACCTGCAGATGGGGCTGAGGGTTTGAACCGCCACTTTTAAAACCACAGCTTGCTGTCCTTCACACAGGCCCCACCCTAAGTGTCTCTGGTTCTGGTTTAGCTTATTCTAAAGACCACCTACATTGAACTTGGCCAGCGCTGTTCGTCCCACCCTACTTCCAAGGACAGAGGTGCATGGGGCCCAGGTGCCTGGCCAGAGTGCTCCACCCTGGGGCAGGACTGCTGCACAGGGGCACACATGCTGTGCACACTGGCAGCCTCATGCCTGCCTTCCCCTCGAGGACATGGAACAGCCCCTTAGAGACAAGGCTCAGACCACAGCAGGCCCTTATAGGCAGGGACTATAGCCTCTGCAGCCCCTGCTTAGAGTGTGGGGCAGCTGTGCACTTGGCCTTGAAGCCTGGAGCTGAAGGGGGCTGGGGTGCACCCTGCTCCAGCCCTCCTCTCCCACCCATCTCTTCTGCAGCCAGAGCCCCACTCTTGGTAGTCCAGGGGCTTATCAGAGGACCCTCTAACTGTAATCATTTGTGAGCCTCTGATTACAGTACAACTTGCAGGATTAGCCAGTCGGATTAGCCGCTCAGGTAAGAGTCAGGCATCGGGGGGGGGAAACCCATGACTCAGCAGTCCTTGGAGTAAATAATTGAACTGACGGCCTGCCACACAGAGCTCCAGGAGGTCAGCGGCAGACCCTTGCCGTCCCTGCTCTCCCACCTGCAACAGAAGCAGAGGGCTCAGAGGTCCACCCAGCAGCAGGCCCAGGCCCTCAATATCCACCGTCCCAAGCCTGGGCAGCCCCCCAGGTAAGACTCACGCACCCTGACAACCCAGCCACAGCAGAGGCAGCTCACTGGGTGGAGAGGGGGAGCAGAAACAGATACTGATGTTTCTTTGAGCACAAGGTGGGCAACATCTATAGTCCGGTTTGAGACCCCGACTTCAGGGGAGAGTTTAAGGTGTCCAGGAACCCTCATGTTGGGGGGTCTCTGGGGGAAGGGGTCATGGTTCTCACAATGTTCCTTGAGGACTGGACCACCTACTGCACTGGGGTCACCAGCCTACTGTCTCAAAGCTGCAGGTGCCAGTGGGGACCAGCATTAAGTGGGGGTCTTGGGCTGTGGCAACAGAGAATATTTGCTGAACGTTGCCATGAGGAGCACTTTAAAAACAAGTACTTTGGAGCCTGAAACAGGTCAAACCCAAGGCCGTTCATGGTCAGCGTGGCCTCTGAGCACCGCCTCCCTGACGCCACAGAGCTATCCAGGCCAGGCCAGGTCAGAGGCTTTGGGATGGCCAGACCACTGCCTGCAGAGCAGCGTGCCCGTGCCATGCACACTGTGCATCTGGAGAGGGCCTTTAGCACTTAGGAAGAGGTGTTGAGTCCCAGGACCTCCTGGGGAGACCAATACCATCACCCCAACTCCTCTACCCACAGCCGGGCCAAGGCCCCGCTGGTTGCACTCTCATTCCTGTCTTGAGCGGGGCAAGGAGAGCAGGGCGGTGACCACAGATCTGCAGCGGGGCATCCACATGGCTACACAAGGTGGGGAGAGGCATCCTGCAGTGCCCAGAGCCCAAGGTGTTCACAGGAGTGGGCAAGTGTTTGGGTGGGGAAGGAGACCAGTACCCTGCTGTGGGCATGCTGTGGACAGTGGGGGCGTTCCCCACACAGGAACACTGAGGTAGAAAGGGGTGGCAGGGGGTCAGGGCTGCCCTGCTGGTCTCTTGGATTCTGTCTGAGCCCTGTGTGTGGCAGACACCCTGCAGGCATCACCATCTGAATTTTAGGGTGGATTTCAGGTAGGAGCTATAAAGCCCTCAGCCAATACCGAGCCTGGAATGAACACCTAGGATCCCCACCAGCACCCCAAACCTCCACGTGAGGCACGGGAAACTATATCTTCCCAGAGACTGATGCTAGCACTCAAGACCTGCCATCCATCCACAAGGGGTGGGCCTGAGGCCAGGAGGGCTGGCCAGCACACCTGCTGCTGCCTGGGACCTCATCTGAACCTGGCTCCTGGGCTCTGTGTGGATGCAGACCTGACCGTGCCCACTTTCCCCTGCAGGTTGGCGTGGGGCTTGGCACTACAGGATGGATGCATCCCCTGAGGCCCAGCAACAGGTTGGGGGCTTAGTGCTGGTCCGCCGGCAGCCACCCAAACCCCGAGGCCTGACAGAGACACTGAAGGCCAGGCTGCAAAGGAGCTGTAGGTGCAGTGTGCCACGGGCATGGGCGCTGGTGCAGGACCTGATCCCTGCCACTCGCTGGCTGCGGCAGTACCGCCCCCGGGAGTACCTGGCAGGTGACGTCATGTCCGGGCTGGTCATCGGCATCATCCTGGTGCCACAGGCCATCGCCTACTCCCTGCTGGCCGGGCTGCAGCCCATCTACAGCCTCTATACGTCATTCTTTGCCAACCTCATCTACTTTCTTCTGGGTACCTCACACCATGTGTCTGTGGGCATCTTCAGCTTGCTGTGCCTCATGGTGGGGCAGGTGGTGGACCGTGAGCTCCAGCTGGCTGGCTTTGACCCCTCCCGGGATGGCTTGGGGCCTGGAGACAACAGCAGCACTGTGAATAGCTCAGTGGCCATGTTGGAGCCTGGGCTGCAGGACTGCGGGCGGGACTGCTACGCCATCCGTGTGGCCACTGCCCTCACGCTGATGACGGGGATTTACCAGGTGAGGAGCGGATGCACTGCAGGCACTGGGGAAGCTGGGAGGAAGTTCAGGTCAGTACAGGAAGAGATGCCCTGCAGCTCCAGGCCAGGTCCCCAAGAAGGCACTGAGATGGAGTGCAGACAGCAGGAGCCTCCTGGCAGCACCATGGGCTTCACAGGGCTTCACAGATGAGTGGGACCGTGACCCATGTGGCCTCCTGTCCCAGCACCCCCAGGGGGGCTGCCTTCTGGGGGCTTCCAGTGTCCACTGGGGTGGGAGTGCCTTCCAATGCCTAGGGCCCCTGACAAATCCCTCCCCGTGTAAGACATAAGCGTGCCGGCCACAGCCCATATGCAACCCACATTTGCCAGAGTGAACATCGGCACTGTTGTGTGCAGTCACGTGCAGAACATGGGTCACATGGTATCTATGGACTGGCAGGCTCTGGGCTGCAACTGCACCTCTTGCTGGGTACTGGTGACTCAGGGCACCTGCGGGGTGGCCTAAGATCCATACCCTCTGTCCACAGGTCCTCATGGGCATCCTCCGGCTGGGCTTCGTGTCTGCCTACCTCTCGCAGCCACTGCTGGACGGCTTTGCCATGGGGGCCTCGGTGACTATCCTGACCTCGCAGCTCAGGCACCTGCTGGGTGTGCGGGTGCCCCGGCACCAGGGCCCCGGCATGGTGGTCCTCACATGGCTGAGCCTGCTACGTGGCCTGGGGGAGGCCAACGTGTGTGATGTAGTCACCAGTGCTGTGTGCCTGGTGGTGCTGCTGGCAGCCAAGGCGCTCTCAGACCGCTGCCGGCACCACATGAAGGTGCCACTGCCCACAGAACTGCTGGTCATTGTGGTGGCCACTCTTGTATCCCACTTTGGGCAGCTCCACAAGCGCTTTGGCTCGAGCGTGGCTGGCCACATCCCCACTGGCTTTGTGCCTCCACAGGCACCAGATCTTGAGCTGATGCAGCATGTGGCACTGGACGCTGTGTCCTTGGCCCTGGTGGGCTCAGCCTTCTCCATCTCGCTGGCCGAGATGTTTGCCCGCAGCCACAGCTACTCTGTCCGTGCCAATCAGGAGCTGCTGGCCGTGGGCTGCTGCAATGTGCTGCCTGCCTTCTTCCACTGCTTTGTCACCAGTGCCGCCCTTTCTAAGAGTCTGGTGAAGACAGCCACTGGCTGCCGGACGCAGGTGTCCAGCGTGGTCAGTGCAGCTGTGGTACTGCTGGTGCTGCTGGCACTGGCGCCACTATTCCAGGACCTGCAGCGGTGCGTGCTGGCGTGCGTCATTGTGGCCAGCCTTCGGGGTGCCCTGCGCAAGGTCAGGGACCTCCCACAGCTGTGGCGGCTGAGCCCAGCTGATGCACTGGTCTGGACAGCCACTGCAGCCACCTGTGTGCTGGTCAGCATCGAGGCTGGGCTGCTGGCTGGGCTGCTCCTCTCGCTGCTCAGCCTGGTGGGGCGCACACAGCGCCCACAGGCCACCCTGCTTGCCCGCATCGGGGACTCCGTCTTCTATGAGGATGCAGCAGAGTTCGAGGGCCTGCTGCCCCCTGCTGGCGTGAGGGTGTTCCGCTTCTCAGGACCACTCTGCTATGCCAACAAAGCCTTCTTCCTGCGGTCACTCTACAGCCTCACGGGGCTGGATGCTGGGCGCTCGGCTGCCAAGAGGAAGGGGCAGGGCTCGGAGCTGGAGGCAGGTGAGGGGGACCCCATGGAGGGCAAAGACCCTGAGAGCAGTGGAACCAGGCTGGTGCCCGTGGTGGCTGGGTTCCACTCGGTGGTCATTGACTGTGCTCCCCTGCTCTTCCTGGACATGGCCGGCATGGCCATGCTGAAGGATCTGCGCCGAGACTACAGGGCTCTGGGTGTCAGCCTGCTCCTGGCCTGCTGCAGCCCCTTGGTGAGAGATGCCCTGCAGAGAGGAGGTTTCCTGGGGGAGGATCAGGAAGCCGAGGAAGAGCAGCTGTTCCCCAGTGTGCACAGTGCTGTGGAGGCTGCGCAGGCCCGCTATGGGGAGCTGGTGGCCGCCAACTCTGTCCTCTAGCAGGGCTGCGGCCTAGACCTCTGAGGGTCACCATCACCAAGCTCCTGGGGTAACACCAGGGCCTAAGTCATGCCAGGGATGCACCCTGGCCCACCAGAACACAGGAGAACCTGGTGCCCAGTGACCTGGAACTCTGCCTCTGGGACCAGCCATACCTTCCTGGTGCCAGTGCCCACACCGTGCCTTGACCTGAGCTTGGAAGAGCCATGCCCTACTGGACACCACATTGTCACCTTATCAGAACAGAGTCCTGCAAGTGTGGAAACACCCTGTCCCACAGCCTGCCCAGTTCCTGCCCCACCAGGAAGGGCACGAGTGTCTGTGCCTCTAGAGGCCACCCACACCCAAGTGCTCCTCACACCTGGTGCTCATCCCTGCAGGCCACATCACGTGGCCAGCACAACCTCATCCAGGGCTTGGCGTCCTGCACAGCTAGACCAGCAGCCACATAGCGCACATGGAGCCAGGGCAGTGGACATCAGTCTGACCCTGGCCCTCCAAGGGGTCCTCTGGGAAGACCTCAGGGCTGCCCTCAGCACACCAGCCAGGATGTCACCCAACCCCTGCGGGGCGCCTGAACAGGAAAGTGAGGGTCCCCCAGCCCTGCACTGGCCCCCACCGGCAGCTACACCCAGCATCACCCACCTGGCTGTGACGAGATCCAGAAGCCAGTGTGTCCGGACCTGCTCAATGCCGCCATGAGGCACAGCACCCACATAGGCGAGGTTGAGCTGCTGGTCCCAGCTGAGGTCATATTGGTCGGCCTGGTCGTGTGGCAGCGGGGGGCTGGGGACAGACAGGGGCGCCCTGCGTTGGTGCTGACCGGGCCCAAAGAGGGGTACCAGTGAACAATAAACTGCCCAAAGGCCAGGAACACTGTGCAGGCTCATCCTTGCGGGTGTCTGTCAGCTCTGCCCAGCGGAGCACCCTGATGGGCACCGCTCTCACCGCTGGTGGGTGAGTTCAGGTCCACACACCCTGGTTCCCTGAGGCTCCTGATCCTCCAGGAAGAGCCCAACCCAGGTCCCCACACCCAGGCACAGCTTGGAGCCAATATGAAGTTGACCCCCAAGGTAGGAAAGAAGACAAGGAACTCCTTCAGTCCATACACTGACTTAACAGAGAAAGTAAAGAGCAGGAACCTGATCCTAAAATAAAGGAGCGGGTTGAAAGAATTCAGTAAAATGTTTGAATTACCTATTTTATAAACAAAACAGGAAACCCCACGTGACCACGCCTATAGAACGGGCTGGTACCTTTGGATGTGCTGCCTTCTCCTGGGGTCTCCGCCCTCGGAGAAGAGCGCAAGTTCCCCTGTCCTGAAAGTACCCGTGTCTTCCTTCCGGGAACCCACCCTCGGCTCTGACAAACCTTCTGAGACAGCAGTCCGCGAACTCGAAAACTTATTTTACGAACGACCTG